ACTTCAACATGGCATGATTTCCGGTAGCTTCACTATCGAGACAATCATTCCGTCGGGAACACGAAGGTGACGTCATTTTCGGGATGTCGTTTTGAGTCTCGCGAAATAGCCTCTACCGAAGAAAACCAGGTGAGCATGCTCATACATACGATAGGTGAGGAAGCTGAGGATATTACTATGCTGAAATAATCGTTAGATTCGACACGCTTCAAGAAGGGGGCAGGTAATCTGTAATGACGGGGACCACGATGCAACATTGCACTTAACATTGCAAGCACCAAATTTGAATCGGGGTGACACACATTGCAACAAAGTCACGCAACATCACTTGCGTGAGCCTCCTATGCTAAGATATTTGGTCAGCAGTAATAAATTTGGTGCAAGCTGATTGGCTAGACATTTCAAAATGTTGCACTCAATGTTGCAGCCCTGTTYACAGAATGAGAGTTGTTGCTCGCAATGTTGCAATAGTAGAGCGCGAGTCAACTTCAGGCTTGTTGCATGCAACGTCGCATGCAACAAGTTTCAGGGGTAGACACGCTGCAGCAGCCGGTTACGGCTGGTACGCTGCGACTGTCGAAGAGCTAATTGTCACGMACTAAACGACTTGTGGCGGCGAATGCGGCGGGTGTATTTTACTGATCGACTAGGTCAACGGAGATCACGGAGAACGGATAGTTGGCGGTGATTTTATTGACAATAATCAAACGTAAACTGAAATASAATGTAGCGTAGCAAGATTGTTATAAAGAGTTCATTACATTTATATTTTACATGGACAAATAGTCATATTATATGCATTCCAATCATATTTGCGGCCTTACAGCATTTACTGCATCAACTACCAAAACGCACGTCAAATAAGGCGCAGAAATTCATGGACTCTCAATATGAGAAATATAACTAAATGAGCCGGCAAGTATAATAAATCTAGATCACATCTCAAGATATAATATACATAGCTAGACTAAAGGACACGAGATGCGGTATTACCACGTGGAACTAAGAGGCGTTGTACCGCGTTGGGATAGCAGGACAAACTTGTGGGAAAATGTCTAGGTAATCTAAAGACGTAGTACAAATATATATTTTAATATACAGTCAATGTCATTAACGTTGTCCACCGACAAAAGAGATTTACACATTTACACTAAAAGATATATCACGTTCATTATGTATTCTTTGCCTCGTGTGCGTCAGCCTGAACTTTAAATGTAAGATTCAACTCGTGAATCGAAAATCCAGAATGCCCTGACCATTTAGTGAGGATTTAAGATGGAGAATGGTATTTCAGCATTTGTTTTATGCCAGAACCTTCGAGGAAACACGTGATATTTCGATGCTGATCTTCCGTGTAACGTGCGTCGATTATCCATAACAATGACTTTACCGGGTGTGAGTTTGTGCCAAAGCTCATTCTCAGGGCGGCGAACAATCGACCCGAACAACCTCACAGCCTGGTAGAACTTCTCCATCTCTTCATAAGTAAGATCCTTGTTGACCATCGGACCAATGCGCGAAAGGTTGTAGCGTAGGTTTTTCAATTCCTTGGTGAAGGGGTCGAGTTCTAGAAGAGGACCATGACTACAAATGTGATGGTAATTACTGTCGTACTCAAAGGTAACTTGAGTGCTGGTTAGAACTTGAAACGCCTCTGGCTCTTCCTTAAAAAGGGTTTTTGCTGCCATAAACCCATCGACTAGAAGACTCATTCCCCCAGTTCCATMATGGTACGAGCAGTGCATTGCTTGTAAGCCTGGAGGAGAAGCGAAGTACGTCTGGTCTGTATGACCCTGGAGAGCATAACCCAAATAGGAAAGATCAGAATGTGTCAAATCCTTGTTCTCCAGTATATATATTCGACCGTACTGCGTTTCTTGGACAAGGCCACCGATTCGTTTACAAACATTTGCTATCGATTCCTCATTTGTTGGGGTTTGGTTGACAAAGATAAAGCCATATCGCAAAATACCATCTAATGATTCACTGACAAGAGTATCATTTTCTTGGAGCTCTTTATAGTTGAACTCAGGAGGCGGGTTAGCAGCGATTATGTCCTTGTTCCAAAGGAGCATTTCAGATTCGTGCGCTATGCTGCCATAACCTTTCTTTACCTCTTCTCTCGAATAGCCATCATATGCATTCTCTTTCAACCAAGATCCATGATAACAAGTGTTATGCCCGTCTTCCCAAGTGATGCGTAACGTATCTGAAGCAACGTCGACTCGCTTTGGACGAATGTATTCGGGAATGTCCGCCATATCGATAAACTTCTGCCTGGTGCTTGGATCCACACAAGCGGCACACGGGCAGTGGTGACGAAGCCACACATGATGGAATCGAGCATCGCTATCTTGCCAATGAACACAGAGATTATTGYCACCGATTATTGCTTTAACAAGAGTACTCTTACTAGCTTCTTCACCTGGTCAGATACTGAACAATCGACAATTGAAATGCGGAATTCCAAATCGAATCGATTTCCCTACTGCGCCACTGAACACAAGGTTTTTGAGTAAGGAAACAGATGAAGAAAGTTTTGAGGAAAACATCTCTCAAGTTTTGCTTCAGTAAAACAATGTTTAAGTAATATATACAATATGCATGAGTGGCCGCGTGGAATACGGTACTCAAAGTCAGTCTGTATTATGTTATATTAACTCTGTCTGCCCGGAAAAATTATCTCGGCCAACTATTTCCATAAAAATTGCTCGGTTTCAATTCTCGCTTGTTCCAAAGTTCCCCCAAAACCCCGGTTTTTCCCCAAACCCACAAGRACGCCTGCTTTGCAGGCTATGTAGATCTCAAAGAACAGGTTTAGCGTGGTGCCTCTGACTGACTGGCTCGCTCAATCAAACTGGTTTGCTTCAAAAGTCACGCTCGGCCAGATCAAACAAAGTTAGCCGCCATAATAAAATGTAAATTAAAGCTTTGTTAAGCAATCAAAATCACGCCTTTTCAAAGCATCGGAAACAGGGAAATTCGATTGAAAAAAAGCGTTTTTATTTTACTAGATGATTGTCAACTTTATTTCAATGATCATTATTATTAAGATACTGAAGTCTTCCGGTTTGGAGTCAATCTCGTACCCAGAGCCCTTATTTCTTACTGCGCATGCTCGACGAAATAATTGGGCTCTGGAAAACTCCAAACCGGAAGACCCAGATTCTGGATTTCTCGCACATGCGCATTATGACAGACTAGGTAAATTCRAAATGGCGGACGAAGTTCAACGAGCACAACCTCGTTCCCAGGGCCCTCTCGACCCGACTCCAAAACAAAATGGCGGTCTTCTCCCCGACGACCGCCATTTTGTTTTGGAGTCGGGCCGAGAGGGCCCTGGGAACGAGGTTGCAACGAGCATGTGAATTTGCGCTTGGAAAATTAGGTTTTGAAGATGGTTTTCAGTTGAATTAACGCCGAAAATATCTATTGGATGGACATCAATACAATTTCCATTACAAAACCGGCAAAACTTTGAAAAATCCGGCCCTAAAGGCTTTTTTGGTGTACTTAATTCGAGACGCCATCTTGTTTATTTTCCCTAGTACTGTAATTTTTACTTCCGGTATCTTCCTTTGTTCTCGAGAACCAATCACAGCACAGGAAATATTGGAGTTTTCAAGAGCCCAATTATTTCGTCGAGCATGCGCAGTAAGAAATAAGGGCTCTGGGTACGAGATTGAAACATAACCCGAACCCAATCATGAGTTGTTGCACAATGTCAATAATTTCAAAAAGTGTTGTTAAAAAAGAAGGCAAGTTGATATATAATACGTGTATCAGTCTTGGAGTGARAAATATTTTATTATTATACTTTTATTTATCATTTCAATTTTGTAACCACATATGCCTATAGATTTTTTTACCGATACGGCGGCCATCTTGAATTATGGAATGCAAAGGGAACCGTATAAATTTATTAAGTAGTACTGAATGTCGGGATTACGTTTTTCAAATGAATTAAACGTGAAGTCACACTGTTTCGAATAATATTTTAACTAGTTACCAACAAATATATATTCAAATGCATTCTACATGTGCTTCTCATTGCAAAGCGTATATATATATTTAGTATAATTTCACGAGCTTTTCGAGCTGTGATTGGTCGAGCGACCGGTGATTCTGACCGATCCGGCGATGATTAGGAGGTTTTCCAAACGTTTTCTATCCTGAATTTCGACTTTTCTCTGATATTCAAGTCTAAAATCATAAGAAAACAATTATTCGCCTCAGGCTCAGTGATTATGGTGAATATCTACCTCGTACCGATATTCACTTCGCCTTTGGCGAATAATCGTTAAATATAAGTTATATTGAAAGACGTTAAGTTAAATAAGACACCCTGGCGGCTGAACAGTCCAAGGGAGCCGTGACGGCAGACATAAATTTGTTGACTGGTCTTCCTGTGGTACTGACGTTTGATGACGAATACGGTTTTCCGCGAAAAATAGCGTGGGCTCGAGTAGCAAAGATGGCGGCGTACATAAAATTTTATTTGTATCATCCGCCGACACCAGAGAAAAACCTTTGCGTGCACTTCAGCACGTTCTCTAAGAATTTTGGAGAGTTTGAGTGAGAAAATAAATGTTTGTTTTCTCCAAGTATACAAAAACGTTCTAGAGTATACTTTTGTCAGACCAAGATACTGCATTAACAAACACAATATGAAAGAATTAGCCTTAAGTTTCAAGCATGGACACTAAGTTTTGGCATTTTATGAAGTCCAATTTATCAGGCATGTTTGAAAGTCAAATTTACATGTTTTTGACTAATTTGCATACGGATTCAGAGCATGCGCAGACGTTTTTACTCGTGTCTCATCCGCCATATTGTTTACTTATGAGTCCGCGCGACTTTTAAGAAACCGCATGCACGCCCATACAACCGGAAGACCATGTACCACAGGAAGACGCCATCTTGGGAATTTGTCCCACAAACAGCCCCACAATGCATTACGATGACAACTCGACCCAATTTTTTTCTTTAACCTCGGCATGGATAATAAATCTTCTATTAGTCCCCCCCCCCCCCGGCATTCTATAGTTTTAAGCCTCCGTATCGGTAAAACGGTTTATTGAATTGTGGCTATGAGGTGTTAGTAACACGATGTTCAGCTTCACATTTTTTGTTGCTGATGGTGTTGTTGTTTATTCCTCGAAGATCCATGCAATTACTCCCCTATCTCTGTTGACATGTTGCCAGCTTGATGCATTCTTGTGTTTATTGACAATCTGTAGCATTGTTCGTTCACCCCTTGATAACAGCAATCGGCCTTAATCGGATAGCTTTCTTACTGATTCCTGCCATATGACCTGTTAAAAAGAGAGTTTCGAAATCTTAGTATTTTTCCCGAATGGTTTGTCGGATAGTAACGTGTCGTAGCCTGTATCACCTAAAGGACTGTCAATTTTTTGTGGCTTGGTAACTCATCTGACCCCCTGTCCTTTGTTGCAATGAGAAATGGCCCCTCCATTATTTTTCATTTTCTTTCTAATTGTAAGATTCTGCTGTAAGATTCGAATCCTTTTGTGTAGCCCCCTCCTGAACCTGAATTTTTAACCMCCCCCCCCCCCCATTAAATCTCGCCGGACCCCCTCCCCTCCCTGGTAAACAATTCTCCCGAACACATAAACAGAATCCATTCTAGGGAATACTTACAAGTGTCGACCACGCTCGTAACATCTTTGTAAGACTCTGGAGCCTGAAACAGAACAGAACAAAATAATGCGATCTTCACCAATCGAGACGAGAGAGTTTTTCAACACTATACGATTACTCTGACTTGGACTCTTGCTTTCAGGCAAAAAATACCCGAATATTATTTGTTGCTGTCAATTTGATTACACAAACACGATGAGAACTGGTTACAATTTCTTTGGATAGCAGCATATCAATGGCGCAGGATAGCATTGCAGGATAAAGAGCCTGGGTAACCAAACGACACTCGCCTCTCTTTTATCACCTCTGGAGTCTCAGGTTTGACTCCCAGACTAGGCATCACATGTGAGTAGAGTTTGTCAGATCTCTCCCTTGATTCGAGGTTTTTTAACCTGGTTTTACGGTCCCTCCCCCCCCCCCTTCCCCCCACAAAACCTACTGTAACACGTTAAATTCCATTAGCCCAGTCTGGACTTTGATCAGGCCTAAGGTTCGAAGAAACTGTGCCATATCAACACTTGCATTGAAGCATTGCAGAGTCAGCGACATTCTGAGGTGTAATGAAATAAATAAAAATCTTTTTCTTTATACACGGTAGGCTTTAAAGCTAGAAGCTTGTAGAGCCGGGTATCCTCCATACACGCTCCTTACTACATTCGATATTCTATAGACACAACTCTCAACTGACATGTTGATTTTTATGGAGGGAGGAAAATCGGAGAACCGAGTGTCATAGATCACTAAACGTTTCACAAGATTTCATTAGTTAATACTTCCCTGCTAGCAGAGTCCCTCCTCTTTCTCTCCCTTCTTTTAGGCAGGGAGGAAGGAGACTCTGCTGATGTAGAGCGTTTCCTTTGATACACCGCACAATCGTGAACGAACGAAACCAGTTTTAAAACCGGTTTTTAACAGGGCAGATGTAGTGCGCATGAGCAAGCGTAACACAACTTGGCGCCAAACGTTGTTTAACGAGAGCGGCTGTCAAAATCATAACAGCGTTGCTAAGTTACGCCACGCAGGCGCGACAAGTATAACGTCCTACATCGGCAGAGTCTATTTTTCTCACTCCACCAAAACAAGGAAAATAGGCTCTGCTAGCAGGGGAGCTAATACTTGACAAGAGTACTCATTTTACAGCTAATGAAAATACGACCAAGATGGCCTCAAGTGTACCTCTTCCACAACAAGCTTTGGTGATGCTACTCTGATGGAGATGCCCTTCTGTTGAAGACTGGCCAGCACATCTTGATACTCAAATGTCCTCCTGATGATTTGAGAATAAACATTCAAGCTTTTTGATCAGAACAGTGTAACAAAATGAAGCACACATGATTATTATGGTTTGACTTTGACAATATCGCTCGAACCAATCACGACGTGGGAGGCAATTGCTTGATTGACAGTTGATGTACTATATTCAAATTCTTTAACTATACTACATATTGTGTTAGTGAAGTAAATGCATAGCTGCAACAGCTTGTAATGAAATTACACAGACTTGCTCTGCAGAATCTGAAACATATCTTAACGGGGCGCGCCTCGCCGGGACCTCGAGTCTGTTCGTCTGACCCTCATCACGCTTATTTGCTTTGTATTTATTTATTTATTTATTGTTCTCCTTCGTAAGTCAAGCATAATAAAAGCCTCTAAATAGATGAAGGGTAGTTGCCTGGCAGCAAACTAGGCSATAAGCAAGGCTAGTAACTATAGCAAGAAGTGACTATGCCAACCTTGCCACGGGTAAATCTCGGTACCTGTCTCACTGTACGTATACACAGTGGAATGGTTTATACTTGTGACAAACACAAGCAACTGCAACAGCGATGGCAAAGCAAACCATCTGGCCAAGAAACAGCTAAGGAGCATGCGCAGTTATATCGCTGACCACAATTAACTTTGCTACTTATATATAACCAAATAAAATATTTCACACAAAAACGTGGCTAAACCTGAGCAACAGATAATTCAAAATTAAAGAAATTTGTGCGATAACATATGCAGGACTTACCTAGATTTTGCTCTAGAAAGTGCTCGCCCCTAAAAAATAAGAAATTTAAGATATTTTCATGTAGAAAAAAAAAAAAAAAAAAAAAAAAAAAAAAAAAAAAAAAAAAAAAAAAAAAAAGGAAAAAAAAAAAACAAACAAAAACAAAAAAACAAAAAAAACAAACAAACAAAGTAAAAAAAAAAACCGAGAAAGCACATTGCTTTCTTTTTAAACTTACAGCCCCATGGCATGTAGACCCAAATGTTTCATCCATCCCTTTATCAGTCCCAGTAAGAACATAGCTGTGGATAACACACAACACGATTATCAAGGAAATTATTATAAATAGATGCTTTGCACCATCACGTGGTCACACCCCTAATACAGCTTGGGCTGCCTGTGGTTAGATGGAAGAACAATACAATCCCTTTGCTCTCGGGAATAGAATTCTTTCTCGTGTAAAACGATTGTATTGTTCCTGCCATCTAACATGGCTGCCGTCAAGTGATGGTGCAAAGCCTATTTTTGTATGTTTTTGGAGAAGTACTACTTTAATAACTATAAAACTAACCTCCTTAAAAACATTTGTAAATAGATATATGCACTGATAATACACTTTGAGATCAAAAAGTCTAAGGAATCTTTCTTAACTAACAGTGGCATTTTTACAGTGGCTCTTGATCCACTGAATTCCAATTGGAAGTTAGATGTTGATTTTTGAACCCGGAGAAAAACCCTCGAAGCATAGGAGAGAACTACCAAGCAACTCTACTCACATACAACACCAAGTCTGGGAATACTTCTTTTTACAGTTCCATTCAGTGACCACGAATAATAGTTTCTAGCCGAGGCTGGAGTTACCGCGCATGATAAACTGTAGTTTTGCTATGCGTCGTAACTCCAGCCTCGGCTAGGAACTATTATTCGTGGTCACTGAATAGAACTGTAAAAAGGAGTATTGACCTTGGGTCGCATAGAGGTGAGAGCTCTCACGTCTACGCCATCCGTGCTTCCYACATTAATTAGCGATAGATAATCCATGCAACATTCTTAATACTTCTTATAATACTTCTATTTGAGGAAAGTTTACCTGCTTGTGCCCATAGTCCCTCCAATCAGTACTGGTTGACCTGTGAGCTGGAAAATCGTATCAATTAATTCAGGACATAGAATATCTTTTCATAGGCATTGCAGCGCTTTCCAATCACTTGTGCGAATTCGCACAATATTTTTGTTGGTTTTGGTGTACGTCAATCAACGCACTTTCACAACATTCCATAGGCACGAGCGTTTGAAAACTTGACGCTATTGACGCTATCAAATCCTTTTCCTAATACACTAAAAACATTTTATCCAGACAAGCTTTCGCTCAGTTTACTTGAAGCTTTCAAATTTTATTTCAGTTAATTTGAGATGCCATATTTACACCATTTTCCCGCCTTTTATGGGTTTCCTGTGGTAATGGTGCGAGGTATCCCATAACCGTCAATTCCCTTTTAAAAATCCTGGATCTGCCCTTGGTGATTTCGCGCATAAAAATAGTTTATCTCGAACCATTGGAAATACAGCCAATCAGAAGCAGCATTACAAATATTCTGCTACAACGTCCAAAAWATTTCTAGCATTAAAGTGTCTACTGCTTGAATTGAATGAAGTCAAAAGACCATGAGTTAACAAGACGTCATAAAAATAGTTTATCTCGAACCATTGAAAATACAGCCAATSAGAAGGCAAGAAGCATCATTACAAATACTCCGCTACGACGTCCAAAATATGTTTAGCATTAAAGTATCGGCAAGTCAAAAAAYAAGACGTCATAAAAATAGTTTATCCCAAAGCATTGAAAATACAGAAAACTGTGGTATATGTGAGGTACTACTACGATTTTTTGGCGTTGTCAAATTTTGATCACGTGGTACATCAAAAGCTCATCACGTGGTACACAAAATGCGATCACGCGACCAATTTTTCTCAGCCGCGGGCGGGTTTAAAAGCTCCTCTGGATGGGTTGAAAAAACGTGGGGTGTAACGGTCTACTGGGAAGAGCAGTATACTAACCTGATAATCAACTGGGATTAAAGGATGATGAGGAGGGAATGCTCTCGTAGATCCCTTCCTATGAACAAGTAGCTGTGTTTGCTTTCCTTCAAAGAACTATACATGGTTTGATCAAAAGAATCAAGGAAAATCCCGATAGATTATGTCATCCTTCACTCTTGTTACTATGAACTTCTCAAAAGCTAGAACTCAAGAGTATTATACTGTATATAATGATATTGCTTATGCATATCATTACCAAAAGTAAAAAAACAATTCTACTTATGGCAACGATTGATGAATCTTGCCTCTCAACATTTTTTCAAAATGCATTATATGTTACACTCTGCAATGCTCCATGCAACTTATTTAGCAATGATGTTGGTAGACAAAGTTGCAGAGAAAATTGCTCTGTGTAATCAAGCCTTAATGATCAACAGTCGACCAAGTCCAGATCTGTTCTCGTAGGTTGGTTTTATTCTGTCAGTCAGTCAAGTGTAGATTAAAAAGTGTCATCTGGTCATCTAGAGTACTGTTCATGATTACTCTGACAAGGTTGGGTACAGGAGATTGTAAAGGATACATGTTCCTCAACTTTCGCGATGTTGTGTGACACGTCATAGATGACATGCATGTCCAGATCATCTGGCGTGCTCTTGAAAATCTTTGCAAATGCCTTTAAATTGATTAAAACAAGAACAATTAAGTTAGTCAAGGCATTTGGGAACCAACAAGAAAAAAATTATTATAGCCAAAGGACATGCCCTCCTCACTCTGTACAGTCTACATTCCCCTCTGAAGCTCAAGAGATTACCTGTCTTGAGAGGAATGTCATGCTAGAACGATTAACCCATGCAAAATTAGCAGCCGCTGCCATGGCTTTTAAGTAATCTTGTCCTTCTTGAGACTTGATGTGGGCACAGGCAAGCTGTCAGAACAAAAAAAAAACCATCAATTTAAACTGACGAAGATACTTTATTGCAAACTACACTACAGTACATAGGTATTACAGCCCAGATCTAAAAGGTCTATTGGCCAGATAAGTGATAAGGGACACACCATGTTAATGACCCCTCCCCCCCATGATAAACTCAGCTGTGAAGTGGCATTATTGTTGGTTAATGTATTTTCATAAATCCAGGTTGAACATCCTGTTAAGATAATGGGCTTAAAACAATGGCTGGTCTTTGGACCATAATTTGATTGGCAGAGACTAACTACTGTAATATAGAAATTGATAATTTTGTATCGCAATAATCAATAATAATAGCTGAATATATGATAGGCAATTTACATATTGTATCTGAACTACATGTACATAATAATTATCATAATACACTCAACAATATTACTAGATTCCGATTGGTCAAGAGGAGTACATTAAATCCCTTATAGTACACTCAACAAAATTACTCGACTCTGATTGGTCGAGGAGTACAGTTACATCGTTAATTGTACCCGTAGGAGTACCAAATTGCACAATCTTCTYGTACAATTCTGAATTTATATTTATAGATCCTAAAGATGTTTTGAAAGTTCTCAAAATTGAACTTGCTTAAAGGCTTGTCAAAAACGTTCACAACATCACTCATACCTATAAATTCTGAATTGTACTCAAAATCATGCGATTTTCTATACTTATTGTGATATGTAAATAATTGCCTATCATATACAGTATTCAGCAATGATACACTCAGGAAGTTATTAAGAACTTATTCCTATGGATCTCCTTGAACTGTGGTGACAGGTCAAAAATTTGTCTCGCTACCACACCCTAATTCGTCTACTGACATGCCTACTTTTGTTACAGCAGTCGGCGTTCCATTTTCATGTATTACAGTGAATTCCTTACTAGCAATGTGCTAGATCCGAGACAGTGGCAAAAGTAGGCGTGCCAGTTGACAAATTAGGGTGTGGTAGGGAGACAAATTTTTGAACTGCCACCACACTTCAGTGAGATGTGTAGTACATGAAACATATCACTCCTTACCTGTCTGTCATTTACTTCAATCTTGTCTCTCTTCATTGCTTTCTCCATCGCAACTAATGCATCTTATCAAAGCAAGAAATGACCAAATTAAAATGAAAAAAATCAGCTTGGGTAAAATGGATGGTCCATGCTGCTAACAAGTCCCAATTCACCCAGGCAAGCTAATAAGGAACTTGAGTTTGTTTGATATGCTGTTCGCTGTATGCTTTTTTCGTTTCCTCCCTCCACAAAAGTCTACATGTGAGGCAAGGGCGGATCCAGCCATAATTTTT